TTTTCGCTCTTTGTATATTATAAAATCTACTTAATTTTCAAATAAAGTATAAGAAGAAGTATTTTTTTCTATAAAAACTTTCGGGTCTATATTCTTACTGACCTGATATAACTTAAAATAAAGGACATAGTCAAGTTAATAGAGTTGTCTACTTGGTTCTCTTTTACATAAATAAGGAAGTCGTTCCTACTTAAAGAGATACTGTTTGTGCGATAAATGCTTTCGAATTCTATATTTAAGGTCCTCTATCAGGTATAGCGTGCAGAGATTGTCGCATCCGTACTATCATAACGGACTATTATTTTTTGCTCAAGCAAACTGTGATACACATGGTTGTCTCATCCAACTTAACTTAACCTTATTTAATTTAATAGTTTTTTATATAAACTCAAAATAATATTTTGTTTTTGGGTTTACAATACTGCTGTAGCAATCAATCCTCTTAAAACTTATGTTTTCGAATATATAAATTTAAATAATATTCTAAATGATGCAGAATAATTAGATTAATTCATTTTTATTTTCTATTATGAGAACGTTTATAAGAAAACAAATTATAAGTTCAAGTTAACTTCAAGATAACAGGAGTCATAGCGTTACTCTAGTTACAAGAGTTATCAGGTCTCACGACCTACTTTACAATTTTAAATTGTATAGCTATATTGCGATCCTTTTCTTGCCCTTAAAGTTATAGCGTCCCAATACATAGCCCTATATTTCAATGCTGCGATTTTTTTTTATATACAAAAGATCTTTTGCTTGCGTTCTTTTTCTTGCCCTTAAAGTTATAACACCCCAATACATAGCCCTATATTTTAATACTGCGTTCAGATTTTTTATATAAAACTCAAGAATTCGATTATTGCAACTATCATAAGAACAATTAGAAGAACATTTATTCATGAAATAATAGAAATACTATTAATTTGATATACTCGTATCGTATTGGTTTCCTATCGAGGAAAATATCGAGGAAGTAAAATCGACATGTGAAGGAGGCAAAATTTGCTTTACTGAAGCAATTAGTTACTTTAATTCAAATTATGTAGTTATACTATCATACTATTTTATAGTATGATCACCATTTAATTAATAAGATTGTATCTTCACAAAATTTAATACCTTAATTGCCGTATAACAATTCTCATAGTATTTTTGGGCATTTTTCCACATCATTGACATAGAACTTGAAATATTAAAAAAATAAAAAAAAGCAATTGACTAAACGAACGGCACTTGAATCATGATTTCCCGTAGCTGCCAATTAATTTGTTTGATAAACACACCTATTTAAACCAGTGAACTTTATCACAATCTGACAAGTGATCTGCCGCTGCGATCGCAACGCAGGCAGCCAAACTAAAATGTACGAGAATGCATCAATGACAAACGTAAACAATATGGCATATGTATCTATCCAGCGATACTCGTATAGATACATATACTTAAATTGTCTTATTTACATTTATATCAAGCATTGCTACCGGCAGCATTTGTATGTTGTAAAAAAACGAAATGAGAGCTATATATTATGACGTCATTACATAGCGGGTAATTTGCAAATTCTTTTATTGCTTGTTTAGTCCGCTTAAAAATGTCACATTTATAACACTAATAAATTGTATCTAATACTTGAAACAATTTAATTAAATTCAATCGTCTTTGATGAGATTCGTATTTTATAACACGAACTCACACATAATAAATATATACAAAGGCTAATATAATAACTACATTTCAGATAAAATGAGGGACGAAATAATAAGATACTTTTTTTTTGAAAAATAACTTTTGTACTAATAATAAAAAAATAAAAATATATCCTCAATGCTTGCAATCCTACACAAGAAGCGTCATTGATTTCTTGTTTGTTATTCCGGGAATACGACATTCATTTCCTTCATTGATAGTTTTATTGTAAGCCCAACAATATCCTATAAGCTAAAAATTTAGGCGATACGCTACAGGGGAGCAAGCTGTAAGGATCTTCAGCTTGAATAATCTTATGAAGAGTTTTATAAAAAGTACGTAGTGATATAAAACGGGAGATATTGAAAACTTTCGCTTGCGTTACAATGGTTAACTTCGGAACTTTTAAGATGGAAAGAATTCTATAACATTCATTAAAGCGCTGGGCAGATCATGTCTTAATGGGTGTTAATCATCCCAGGAAATAATAAATCACTATTGCCACCTGAGTAAGAGAATAGTAAATTTGCATTGATGATGCTTTTATTATATCGTTTTAGATAATACTAAATACTATCAATTAAATGCCACCGGCAGCTAACAAAATAGCAAACGTGTGTCCTTATACCCTACCTTCCCGACTAAAATTCTGTAGGCACCATCTAATATTGTTTAAGTAGTTTAACACTTAAGACAAGTAACCGGAAACATAAATTTTGTATCACGAGAATCACGATTCACAGCTTTGACCAATTGAGGTTGGCGCCTTCAATGAGAGTATCGTGGTAGCTGTGATTACCATAAAACCCAAGCTTACGCGGATTTAATGTGCAGTTCCATTCTGCAACCGGGTGCTGTGCCTCAACGAACAACAGAGATGGATAGTTTAGATCAGATCATTTTCTAATGCATCACTATCTATTCTATTCTATCTAAACTATTCTAGTTTATTTGATTAGTTGTATAAATTTTAGATTAATTAATTTTAGATTGATTTTTGAAGATAACCATATTTATATATGAGGTATAAAAATCAATAATGAAAAACGATTAAAGATTTTACCCTTACTTAATCATTTATATTGATATAATTTGTTAGTTAATTTTGAGTTTTTATTTGTTAGTTCAATCTATTCAACAAAACAGACTAGTTTTAGTCTTTCACTTGCAAGTATTCGTGTTACTGACAATTTCAATCAAATTTAATATATATAGGTAATAAGTTTTTAATACATTTCACTTTATATATATTTATGTTCATATAAATACTTTGGGCACAGTACAATACGATTAAAAACTATAATGACAGAAGTTAGATTAGTTCAACATAGAACTTATTAATACAAATATCAATTTCTCTCGGAGATATCTATTGTCTGAAGAGCATCACTTCAAGTTGATAGAAGGTGGTGTGCTAGATTAATAATTATTTTTGTTATAACTCCATATGTGTGCTTGACAATATGATCTTCTAAATTAAGACTGTTCCGACCAGATACGACCGCCGACCAATCAGTGTAGATTGGAGGGTCACAGAAACAAGTACGTACGTCCATGATTTTTTTGAAAAAAAATAAAAATATAAATTGGTGATAATTTTAAATTTGGTTTTATGAGTTATTCTTTTGAATTCAGTATTTTGGGATAACATTAAAATAAAATATTTTGATTTTACCAAAATATATATAAAGGAAAGTTTGGGTAATTGTGGTAGATTAGTAACATGTCGCGGGCCGCATGTGGCCCGTGGTTCGTGCTTTACACATACCTGTTCTAAATCAAATTAAGGAGAACCGATAAATCTATCTAGGTTACCTCAGTAACCTTATAGATCTTGCAACTAAACCAGAAGTCATTCGTCATTGCAATAATGAATTGTTTTCTTTTTTATCTGAGTCATAGCATTTCACGACCTCATAGCTCTTGCTACTAGGCCATACATCATTCGTCAATATAATTGTAAATACACCAATGCTCCTAAACAGTTAACATATCAACAGATTGTATTGAGATATTGCTCTCAATTATGTCGAACTCAGCACCTATTCTCTATTGTTATCATATCTGTTTGAAATAAAGTAAAGTAAAGGTAGTTAAGAAATATTTATTGAATTACTGGAGACGATAGCTGCAGACTTTGTTGCGAAAAAGAGGAAACAGCAGAACACATTTTGTGTCACTGTGATAGTCTTGCAAGACTCAGACTTCGCTACTTATCCACTGCCTATCCGCTTATAACGGAATTAGGCAACATCTCTCCAAAGGACATATTGGCATTCTTAACTGCTACTCGTCTATGGAACTGAAGTGGGTATGTCACAATAATCCTCGAGGATGGAGTGAATCGGAGAAAATTTAAAAAAATGAAATTCAACAATGGCATCAGTTCACAAGGCTACCACTCTACCCTAAATTAACCAATTGAGTTTAGATAATTAAGCAAAATAAAAACGTTTCCTCTTTGTGGATTTCACAAATTTATGTGGAATATTTGTAAAAACTATAAACTAATATTTATTACAGATTTTAAAAAACGATTTAAATTCACTGCAAATGAATTATTTTTAATTACACAATTTACTAAATTGCTTTACAATTTTAAATTCCTGAATTAAATTCGCTAATTCCAATTGAAATAACTGCAATCTTTCCATTATGAGCACTTGTAATAAAACAGCATTTAGTTCGGCTTAATAGACAAATACACCCTAGTAATCTAGATAGTCACTTCTATTAAACAGTTTATCATTTAAACTACATTACAATTATTTAATGTGCGTTGGAGCAATTTTCCGATGAAGAAAAGAAAACGATTTGCTTGAATAAAAATTTAAGATTTGCGCTGTCGTGATAAATTGTAGAAAATTTAGTTTATTGTGATAGTTTGAGATAATAAAATTTTTACATCTTTACAGAAGCTTAAAAGTTCTAAATGGCGGATAATTTAAAATAAAAAAGAAACAATCGAATATACTTAATGTCTTTCGTGTAAAACACACAAGTTTATGTTCGTTTAATTATTTAATTAATTTGATTATTTAATTAACGTGCACAGATTAAAGAACAAAGAAGGGCCGCATTTCTTAATTAAGTCATTTAGTGTTTATATTAATTGTGTAGACAAATCTTAAAAAAACGTACTTACATAGTACAATAAAGTAAATTGCTAAAAATAAATATATAATAATAATGTATTAATTACTTCAATTAATTAAGCATCTTAACAAGTAGGCATATTTTTATTAGCATAATAGTTGTCTAGAATTATAAATATAATATCAATTAATTAATTATAATTATAATATTTAAAGCATAATACCTAAACTGATATTTAGATCGATAGATAGATTTTATACGGGTTGGGAACTTGTCACCACGTCACTGCATCCTTTGAGGATTATTGTGACACACCCACTTTAGTTCCATAGACGAGTAGCAGTTAAGAACGTCATTATGTCATTTGGAGGCGGTT